TTCGTTATCCTGTCAAGTGGCCCAATTAATTGTCAGGGTCGAAAGAGAGCAAACCAAAACGAAGCGAGAAAAGTAAAGAAGAACGTTTCTCAAGTACTAGCGTTTAAACTGTATCTTCATACATACATACATACATACATACATACATACATACATATATACATGGTATACATATGTACGTACATATGTATATCGCGTGCACCAGTTTCAAAAAGAATCTTTAGCATTCGGTGAAAGATTCTTCCCGAATAAAAGACTTTTTAAAGAGGACAACTCGTCCGGAAGTTTCGTTCAACGAGATGAGATTTCAAAGTTGTACGGTCATCTTCAAAAAGCTTCATGGAATTCATTTCGACGAACATTACTTCAAAAGTTACGTGTTCGCTGTCTCTCTCTCTCTCTCTCTGTCTCTCTGTCTCTCTATCTTTTTTCTCTATATTTCGTCATAGCCACTCTTCAAAGTAAGTATAACCATGCAGGTAATGCACTTCAATTCGTCCCTTTCTCTCTCTCTCTCTCTCTCTCTCTCTCTCTCTCTCTATCTCTCTCTCTATCTCTCTATCTCCTTCTGTTTTCTTTGATAATTGCATAATAAATTTGTAAATCATTGAAAAGCTTCATAATTATTTATTTCAAATTTTTCATTCGCATTTCATTTTTAATAATTCCACTTCATTTGAATAACTTTTATTTATTTATATTTGATAATAATAATAATAATAATAATAATAATAATAATAATAATAATAATATATATATATATATGTATATTATAATAATTCATTATTCAATTATAATTGTATCAATTGATTTAATTAATGAAGCAATTTACTTTTCATCGAACAAATCGTTATATTTCTATTCGAAGTGGCCTTTCATTACGACAAAACTAATTTTGTTAAATCGCGGATATTTCTATCTCTTTCTCTCTCTCTCTCTCTCTCTCTCTCTCTCTCTCTCTCTCTCACTCTCATCCTCTCTTTATCTCTTTATCTTTTTACGTCTTTGTATTTTATCCAACTTTACGTACCTTTTATTCAATTATTTTTAGATTTGTAATACTATTTTGACGTCTCTTCCTTTATATTTGTTTGTTTCATTGTTATCATTGTTTTCGAAAGAATAATTTGTTCGTTCAGGAATAATTTTCAATCGCTCAAACGAGATATCCACTGCACCGACCAATCCACCGGGCATAGTCATTACGAAAAATGAACGTAATATATCGCGAGACGTGCTCGCAAACGTCCATTCCGATGAGAAGATTGCATTACGAGGAACACGATGGGAGAATGGTACGGAGCCGTGCAGATGGGAAGAGAAGGTGGCAGGAATGGGGGGGGAGGGGCACGGAAGGGCTGGAAAATAGCATGCGCACCGGCGGTTAACTTAAAAAGACCATGATGTATGACGGGCTCATAGCAATATCATAAACAAAACGGCTCGCCTAGAACGTTTCTGCTTTATATTTTTTTTCTTTACTTTTTTTTTTTTATTTTTTTCGTTCTTCCTTTTTTTCTAGTTCGCTATAATATTCCATCCTCTTATTAGTTAATATTCATTATTCCTTGTCGGGTCGATTTGTCATTCTCTCTCTCTCTCTCTCTCTCATTTCTCTCACAGAGAAATTCATCAGAAAGTATATCGATGTTAGAGAACTCTTGCAAATTGGAGAGAAGGAGGAATATCATTTTTCATTGGGAAGAAAGAAATAAAAAGAAAAAAGAACTGGACAGAGAGAGAGAGAGAGAGAGAGAGAAAGAGAGAGAGAGAAAGAAAGAGAGAAAGAGGAGAACAAAAAGTAATTAAAAAAAAAAAAAAAAAAAAAGGAAAAAAAAAAGAAAAAAAAAAGAGAAAAAGGAAAAAAGAATTAAAAAAGGAGAAAAGAAAATAAAAATATTTTCTCACACGAGCGATATTTTTTATCTGCGTGAAAATAATTTCGAAATGGAAAACCTTAAAACGTCGAACTTATTTGCCCGTCCAATAAACGGCTAAATTATACATTGTTAAACGACGGACGGCTAGAGACTGGTGGTGGTCTATTTTTGAAGGTGCTTGCGAAGGAAGAAAGCTTTTGAATAAAACATGCACACCGACGGGCATGTCCTCGAGATATAGTATTCTCTTCTTTGTCTCTCTCTCTATTTCTCTCTTTCTCCTTCTCTCTCTCTCTCTCTCTCTCTCTCTCTCTCTCTCTCTTCTCTTTTTCTCGGTCTCTCTTTCACAGTACTTTCGCCGCCTTTTTCTTCCTCGCATTCTGAATCACTTTTTTCTCTTTATGCCTCTTCTATCTTTCCTCCTGTCCAACCGTCCTTTCTCTCTATACTTTCTCCGTTATTTTCAAATGGAAAAGGGGAAACTTTAAAAAATTATTCCCCAATTTGATTTGACGTGGATGTCGATATCGATACGCGCTATTTATATAAGTAAATATTGACAACAAGTGGTAAAATATATAAATTATTGATCAATTAATTAAATTCATTAATTTAAAAAGTGTCTATTCGGAAAAAAGAATTTTTTTAAACTCCTGCATCAACGTTATTACTCAAGTTAATACACGCCTGTATAATGGTGTTGCCTATCATTAGGCGATATTCGTCAATAAAGTTTTCTGAAACGATAAATAACATCTGTGATAAAAATTACGACCTATCGATTATGTATATATATATATATATATATATATATATATATATATATATGGATACAGGCATATAGTATAATGATTTAATAAATAATAGTGGTATTTATAAATCATTTTAAAAAACTAATTAACAATTAATCTTTTTAACATCGACGGATATTCATTTGACATTATATTGATATTATAAAGATTTTCTTGGATCGTATAAAACAAACTTCTCAATCTTTTTGATCGTCCGATCAGACGTATTTATTTTTAATGATGCCGTTCTCGAAATGTTCGTAAATTAAAATTTTTCAAAATCTGACAAACCACCAGTCGCCGTATATTATTTCAAATATACGATTAATATTACTCGCAATATACCTCGCGAATTCCCAAGAATATTCAAACGAGAGAAATTTCTAGAAATCTCATAAAAATTAATCACTTTTCTCGCTTTGCCATGAGATAGCAAAGGTAATCATCTCACATTCCTATTAAAAATTTAATACGACAACGTGAGTCGAGATAAAAATTGAAGCCGTTGTGGAAAATATATCGATATTGCATAATAAAAGAAAATAATATAAAATAGTAGAAAATTGTAAAAGGAAAAAGGAAACAATATTGAACGTTCGAAGGGAACGATTGTAGGATAAACGTTTAAGCTTGTCGATCGAGTATAATTAATGGCGATGTAATATATTTAGAGGCAAAGTTATCTAACGTTAATCAACCTCTTTTTTATGTAGAATATCTGGCTATAGGATAGAAAAGGTTGGACTTTGGTAAAAGCCTGTTTTTTAATCGTCGTCGAGGAAAACGACGACTACGACTACGACGACTACGACGACTACGACGACGACGACGACGACGACGACGACTACGACGACTACGACTACGACGATGGCAACGTTTTGCTTTTATTTATGAGATACCTATCGATCTAATCCCATTGATAGATGGCACCATCGTTTTTTTTCCTTCAGGCTCTGACAGCAAGGTGTCGGATGTTGATGGACAACCCTACACGACGCTGCTTTACAGCAATGGTCCCGGATACACGCATCCACGGAATATTTTACGTGACGCCAGCAAGGATTCCATACAGGTAAAAAGTCATCCCGAAGCATAGTTTATTATCATTCTGTCGAATCCATAACAAATGATGGAATATTAAAAAGAAAAAAGAAAAGAAAAAAAGAAGTATAAAAAATAAAAAAGAAAGAAAGAAAAGGAGAGGTGGGGGGAGGAAGGGAGGGGGAAAAAGAAGAGGTCACAAAATATAGGTCGATCGAGAGAAATATTCATTCGATGAAATCCTTTTATATAACGCGACGAGACGGTAAAATGATTAAAAAAAAAATCCATAAAGAACTGAAACGAGTGATTATAAAAATATTGAATAGATCGTGAAACGATATGGGGAAATTTTTTTTTGCTCTTATCGAATTTTCAAATATTTATTTCAATATTGTAACTCCCAATAGTCAAAGATAAACTTGACTATATCTACGATTCTATCGTCTCTTTCACTTTTCACTTTTCACGTTTCAATCGAAGTAAATTATCTCGTACGATAATTAGTCGATCGTTTTTGATCCACTTCTATTTCCTTTTTCTATTTATTCCTTTTTTCCTTATCATTTTTCTCATTCTACTCATTTTTCTCATTTTTTCTCATTTTACGTTATTCCCTTGTTCCGTCGATTTTCCGAGCACCGACAGGGGATTCTGCGAACTTACCTTTCAAAGAACTACGCTGGGAAGAAATAGAAAAAGAAGGAAAAAGGGAAAAAAAGGAAGGAATAAAAAGAAAGTGAAGAGAGAGAGAGAGAAAGAGAGAGAAAGGAAAAAAAAGGTAGAAAGAGCAGAGCGCACTCACGAAAAGGCGCCAAAAGCGCATTCTCAATGCCGGTTACCCATTGTCACCGACGGCCCGTTTTCTCTTGTCTTTTTTCATTTTTTTTTTCTTTTTTCTTTTTTCTTTTTTCTTTTTTCTCTCCACGTTACCCACGTTCGGTCCCTGATACGTGAAAATCGAATCGCAAAGGACGATCTCGAATAATCGAAAGGAAGTCGTCTCGTTTATTTCTGAAAGAAAGAGGGAAAAAAGAAACAAAAAGAAAAAAAAAAAGAAAAAAGAAAAAAGAAAGAAAAAAGGAAGGAAGAAAGAAAAGATTAAAAAGAAAAGATTAGGAAAAAACATCGAAGAGTATCGCGTATGTTCAAAGCTATAAAGAAGTCCTGTAGGACGAACTGTACAAGGAACAAGAGTAGTATTCTTTAAATCCATCTCATGGGCACCTTTGATAACCCTCCCCTATAATCTCTACTATTCGACTTTTACGATACCCTTTGACATAGTAGTAAAATTCTCGTATTTAGAATTTGTAAAGAGAACAAAGAAACGTAAATAAGAGTATAGTTGCTAACTCTCTGTGATTTGAGATTACTTCGATTACTTTGAATGATTTGATGCTCAATTCATTATTCGATCTATCTCAATCGTTCTTGATATTCAATCGTATAGATTATTTAAATCGTTGTTTAAATCATCATAAAAACATTCGATTTAATTAATATGTATGACTTTTTTCGCAAATAATACAAATAAAGCCAATAATGCATATAATATAAAGGACTATCTTTTAATTCTTATCAATTAATATTATATTCCTTTCACGAGACACTTCTTTTCAACTTCGAACAGTACTTACTATTAATCATAATTTATTTACATTTTAATTAAACGTACGAGATATAAAAGGGATGATTCGCGAGCTATTCGCTTATGGCTCTTATAGAAATAAAATACATGTATGTAGTATGATAAATTAAAACTGTTCAATGTACAAAAGTACATTATTTTCATTCATATTTTCTTAGAAAAGTTATTAGTATAAACTAAAATGTAGAAAAGTTTTTAATTATTTCATTTCTCTTTGAAATATTCCCTCCTAAAATCGTGACTCCTTATGATAGGCTTAACTGATCATACAAATAAATAAAAAATGAGATATAATTAAAAAAAAAAAAAAAAAAATTTGTCGAATTCAATCATTGGACATAACAATGTTTTCATTTACGAAAAATATTTTATTCTATTTCGTCGTATCTAATTTAAAAAGTTATCATCAAAACTGTCTTTCGTTCTTTTTCGTGTTTCGCATTGAAATCTGAACGATCACTTGCGTTATTTAATGAAAATAAATAATTTATGAATAATATAAGAAATAGGGAAGAAAGGGAATTAAAAAAGGGATAAAAGGGCAAAATACGAAAGAAGAATGACGAATATAAAAATGATCGAATGATAGAAGTTTTTATATATGTATTTGTATATCGGCGATTAATAATTTTGCGCATAGAAAAAGAAATTATAAGGAAAGAGAGAGAAAGAGAGATGAAGGGAAAGAAAAAGAGAGAGAGAGAGAGAGAGAGAGAGAGAGAGAGAGAGAGATAAAGAGAGAAAGAATTGACAATGAGAATGAATGAGAGAGAATAAACTGCTTTTTTATTGAGCTCAAATCGAGAAATGTACGAAGAAACATTTGTGTATCTCTTTATCTCAACGGACAAGTCATAAAGCAATCGTGAGTTTAACGTATCGTACAATCGTAGACAGAAAATACGAGATATCCGATGAAATTCTAAATATACTCGAAGTAAGAACAGAAAAAGCGTACACGCTCGTCTAAACTATGATTCCATTTACTTTTTTATCTATGATAAGTTTATCTCTCGTCTCGTACATACGTAAGTATGTGGTATGCCTGTGAATACGTAAGTATGTGTATGTATGTGTATCTCTGTCGTGTATTCGTCTCTCTCTCTCTCTCTCTCTTTCTTTCTCTCTTTCTCTCTCTCTCTCTCTCTCTCTCTCTCTCTTTCTCTCTCTCTCTCTCTCTCTCTCTCTCTCTCTCTCTCTCTCTCTGTCTCTCTTCTATTTTCTGTTCTCCATTCGAACGTTTCTATTTTTGTTCGCAATGGGATAAATTATAAATATATTAATGAAAAAGTTAAAATTGTGAAAGGAGAAAGTTTCGAAAATGTAAAATATTAAAATATATATTAGAGTCATTAAAGATATACATAAAATCGATTAAATCAAAGTCGGCATTATGCCAACCAAGCACCAGCCAACCAACCAAGTCGACGAACATCGTGATCGACCAACTAATAATCCAGCTAGCCAACCTAATGGCATTCGTTAATATTTAAAAATCGACTGAGTTCTCTCTTCAAATGGCATTTTAATATACGGGACTGTGATAGGATATCTGTACTTTAGTTGGAGTGTAATACATTTCTTTTTTTTTTTTTGATAATAATAAATTAAAGTAATAAAATGGTATTCGTAAGTTGAAACGAGATTCTTCATTGTATTTTGTTTAATCAATTGTTAACGATTAAAAGATTTTTTTAATTCTTCTCAGTTGTATTATAATTTATCCTTAAGATTAATTATTTTATTGATAATATAATTAAACGTTTATCATTTCTCGATCCTTTTTTTTTTTTTTTTTTTTTTTTATAGAACGGATGAAGAAGATTCAATAAGGAAACATTTTATATCGTAAATAATTCATAAAAAAAATTATGATATAACGAACGATTAGTTATTTCAAAAAAAAAAAAAAAAAAAAAAAAAAAAGAAAAAAAAAAAGGAGAAAAAAGAAAAAAGTTTTCGAAACAACAGCAAATTTTCCTGACAATACTGACGCGATAATAATTATTGTAAAAAATTATTATACGTCTAATGCAAGAAGATATTCGTTTCGTAAATTATTCGATTATTTCGTGATTTGTCGATTGCAATTTATTGCAATTTATAATAAGAAAGTTTATCAGATCTACATAATTTTTTTTTTGTTTTCTCTTAAAAACTTGCTCGGACATTTTGTCATTGATGAGGAATTTTTAATAGTCCTTTTTTCTTTCTTTTTTTTTTCATCGATAAATAACTCTTCCAACGAATATTATACAAGGAAGTATGAAGTGATATCTATCGTTAGGCGGTCGACAAGCATCGTTAATAATAATATTTTAACAAGTAATATTTTTCATAACTTCGTTTCAAAATGGTCGCCAGTGTATTCTTGAACGACGCGTGATATATTAGCATTGAGTTTATCGATGATAAAAAAAAAAAAGGATTAAATGGAAGAGTAAATACATTGGTTGGAGTGGCCATCGTGATGATTTATATAAGTACGTCGTATAAATATGGCTATAATGTTTTTTTTTTTTTTTTTTTTTTTTTTTTTTTAAATACATTGGATCGTCCGATGCAACCAGTGTCTCTCTCTCTCTCTCTCTCTCTCTCTCTTTCTCTCTTTCTCTCTTTTTTACTAATTTTTTTTTTCTTTCTTTTTTTCTCTCATCAGCTTTAAATTTTCATAAACGAAGAGATACTGTAAGAGAATAAACACCCATTATAATATACAAATGAATTTAATATCTCATATATCGACATTTTGTGATTATAAATTGATTTTGATATAATTTAAAAAATATTTTATTTGTTTTTATATATATAAAAATTATCGATTCAGTTAACGATTTAGAAACGCTTATCGTTCACAACGTTTTTTTTTCTTTCATTAATTCATTGAACGAACGTGATCTAAAAAAATGATTAAGATCAGTATAATAAATAAACGTTCTAAATCAAATATCGTAGATCTCTTTAAAATTTATAATTTCGGTTTATAATTCGTCATGGCTTTCAATACGACATTTTTTTTTTTTTTACGTAAAAGAGATTTATTACATAAAAGATTCGTGAAAGAAATTCGATTGTCAAAAATACTTATCTACAATTTGAAATATCACTTAAACATATAATTGGATTAAGAGACATTTTTACCCTTCTTTATTTTTTCTTTTTTTTTTTTTTTTCTTTTACTTTTTGTTCTTTTTCTTTTTTTCTTCTTCCTTTTTTTTTTTTTTTTTAACCTACTTCCTTTTTTTCCACATAATACGGATATATACGTGATTATAATTCTCTAATTCCAAAAGCGTACGAAACGAGAGTAATATTTTAACGTTAAAAGCACTGAATGTAAATAAGAGATTTCAACAATCCGTTGATGAATAAACATTTAATCGAATTATATACCCTTAAGGCGTTTCAACAGTCAAGTCTCTTTGAAATACATATACTAATTAACTCTTTGCATAGCATACGTTGTAAAGCTTTCATAATTATATAATCAATTTATTAAGAAGTCATAGAAATTATTATACAGTTATTATAAATTATTACAAATTATTTCTGTTAATGCAATATTAGTAATAATATAATAAAACGATAACGTTGTGTTTAAATTTTGCTATTTTAACGTATATATTATCAATATGTTATTGAGTATAATTATATTACTACGTGATTATAATTAACTTTGACGAGAATGAAAATATTTTCAAATAAAAAAACTTATCGTTAATCAGTACACATGAATATTTCTCGAAACAATGTATCTTTTTTTGCTTCTTTATATTGTTCCTATCCATTGTAAAATTAAACGTCATTATGATATATTTTTCTTTTTCTTTTATATTTTATTTTATTTTATTTTTTTCTTTTCCTTTTTTTTTTTTTTTTTTAATTTCTATTATTTATCAAAATAGATATAATTTATCCCTTGAATCATGACGGACGGATAAGACTTGAAATAAAAAAATCTTATGAGAAACGTATTTGTACGTTTTTTTTCCTTTCTTTTTTTTTCTTTTTTTTTTTTTTCTTTTCTTTTCTTTTCTTTTTCAAAACAATATATCAAGCATTCGCACTAATTCAAATCGTGTATAACGTTTCAACGGATTCGAATTCGATTCTGGATCACGGAATTCTATTGTGAATTAAAATGCAAAAATTAGTTATTTATGAGATTACTATCCATCCATGCATCAAAAGATCAAGAAACGTTGGAATTCACGAAATAAAATTTTTTTTCGCGATCAAATTTCGAACCAGGGCCAACAAATCCATAAAAATCACACTACTATTGCGACGTTCATATAAAAAAAAAAACGCTAAACATACAACACACAACACAGAACACAGAACACAGAACACAGAACACAGAACACAGAACACAGAATATAGAATATAGAATATAGAACACAGAAAGTGGAACACAGAACACTCAATCGATGAAGTTCTAGTATTACCAACTTTACAATTTCCTTTCTCTCTCTCTCTCTCTCTCTCTCTCTCTCTCTCTCTCTCTCTCTCTCTCTCTCTCTTCTCTCTCTCTCTCTCTCTCTCTCTCTTTCCTCACTTTTTCTTTCTATTTCTCTCTCTCTCTTTTCTCTTTTTTCTCTCTCTCTCTCTCTTTTATTCGTTTAAAGGTCTGTTAGAAGCTTGTTCTATAATTAATATTTCCGCAAGTTAAGTACCCTAAACTTTTTCTCGAATAGTAAAGAGCAATTATATAAAATTTAATCTGAATAGAAAAAAAAAAATAGTAAAAGTTTTTCCAAAATTACAAAGACCCATATTAAGGCTTTTATATTAATAATGATATATCATCAACAATTTATGCGAATAATTAGTGACATAAGAGACAAAATTTACTAATTATTACATATATATATATATATATATATATATGTATGTATATATATAGTTTTGGTGTGCATTAGATGGACTAATAGCCGCTTTTGTATAGATTCTGTATATCATTTAAATTATCCTTTCAAATGGGTATTATGTTGAAGTGTTATCTATGGAAGAGTATTTTCTATAGTGCAGGATGTAATATATTCAATTGTCAGAAATATAATGCATAGGTTACAATTTATATAGTGTATTTTTATATAAGGTGTTTTAGTAATACATTAATAATTCTTGAAATTATAAATTAAAAACTAGTATCTTGATATTATCATCTTTATTGAGAATACTTATTGTTCATTCCAATTTGTTTTTTTTTCTTTTTCTTTTAATTAATTTTTTGTTTCTATCTATTTCTTTATATAATATCCGACGAGAAAGATACTTATGTCGGTATAATAATCAGATGTATTATATTTAAATTTGTAATACTTGCATACGTAATAAATGATAAGAGTTGAATTTCTTTGAAAAGTTATCAGTTAATTCACAGCTGATGTTCGTACTGCCAATATAAATTCGAATTCGATAAAAGATTTATCTACATACCCGAGATTTAAGTTCGATAAAAATGGCTACGTTTCGTGCGTTAAGAACACAATCTAGAATTTCCTTCGGGCTTGAAAAGCTCCACTTGAAATAAAGCCACGTCGTTTCTTCTTTTTCTTCGTCTCTTGCAACGCAACGTTGAGAAAGAACAAACGGAGATAAAATGAGAAAGGGAGAGAGGGAGAGAAAGAGAGAGAGATATATCTTAGCAAAGTTTTACCCATTCGATCTTTTGGCACAGAAAAGATCTTTCAAGCATTTTATCCAATTTCACTGAATTATAATGGTGGCAACTTGACGATTGATGGTATAATTGATTGGTTGCATTCAAAGAATTTTAATCTAATAATTTCACTAGAACGATCGTAATTTAACAGGTGCAATAGATCAGTTGGCAGGCTAAAGATCTATAAATTATCGTCATGATAATGGTTTTATCATGCCAAATTAACTATAGATTATAATCAACGAACAAACACGACATAACTATACAGTCTACTGTATATAAAGAACAAATATTATATTTCATGGATATATTTATTTATTTATTTATATCTTTTTTCCTATTTTTTTTCACTATATATATATATATATATATATATATATATATATATATGATATATGCATATTTCAACGTCATGATTTATGAAAACGTTATTTCGTTTAGTTTTATTAACGCGATCAAATCTCTCAAATATAATCAAATAAACTCTCGATGGAATTTTGAAAGTAAATTATTATTATGTTCGCACATCGGAGTAATATTTTTATTAAATAGCATTCGTTTTTTCTTATAAACTCCTCATTTGCACAAACTCGAATTGAATAACGTATATAATTTATAATAAATAAAATAATATATATGACAAATATTATGTTAAATTAAATACACATATATACAATATACATAAATAAAAGATATAATTTTTTTTTCAATTAATTTATATTTTTATTAATTATTATCATTGATGATTATTATTTGCGTTTTTACACAATTTTATTTAAAAACGGATCTACGTAAGTAGCACTGAAAAAAAAAAAAAAAGATAGTCGACGCTAGGACATGAAAAGAAGTATTTCCCCGTTATAATCACTTCATTTCTTTCTTATTTTTTTCCGTTTTCTTTCTTTCTTTTTTTGTTTTGTTTTTTGTTTTTCTTTTTCTTTTTCTTCTAACAACCGGATAATGTCGAATCATCGACGTTCTTAATTAAAAATCTCAATTTTAAGAGAGAAATTTGTGTGTGGTGCGTGTGTTCTTTTTTTTTCCAGACAGCAGGGGTTCCACGTGCCTGGGCTACACACGGCGGCGAAGACGTCCCAGTGTTTGCAATTGGTCCACTAGCCAGCATTCTCTTCTCCGGTAGCATCGACCAAAGTTACATACCACATGCGATCTCGTACGCTGCCTGCTTAGGCCATCAGGCGAGTCGTTGCTTACGAGACGATAGTAGTAGTAGCATCGGTAGCAACGACACGATGAACGCACCGATAAGCTGTCCTTCGGCGGAACCGAACAGTGCAGCGATATCGAGCGACGTGATGAACGATCAGGCACGAAATCCTAGCACGAAATCCGTCGCTTCCCAACCACCTAGCAAACCCCGACAACCCCTCGACGATCTTCTCTTTGCATTCCTCTTACCCTGCCTCGTTGCGAGCCTCCAACAAGTTTTCCACCTACCCCTTTCCATCGACTAGCCTGGCTTCTGCCGCTATTCGCTTTATACCCTTCTACTACCACCACCATCAACATTATCATTATTACCACCACCATCACCATCACCATCACCAACACCATTACCATTACCACCACCATTACCATCACCCTGACATCCTGCCTGCCTGCCTGCCTGCCTGCCTGTCTCCCTGCCTACCTACCTACCTACCTACCTAACTACCTACCTACCTACTTTCCTGCTCGCCTCTCTGTCCGCCTACTTGCCTCCTGGCTCTCTTTTAACCCTAACAGGCTTTCATGTCCCGTTGGACGAACAAGAGCAGCCTCGATCTAGCCTGCGTATAATCTCCTTTGATCGTGCCCATTCCAAGAGACACTACTACTACTACCTACTGACCACGAGAGCGTGACTCTTCAAGAGGGGTGAAAGCCACAGAGAAGGGAGAAAACTGATAAATAACTATATCGAGTTCATCGAACTTCGTCTCCGGTTCTTACCTTACGGTGTTCATTTTCTTCGGTGGAAGGACCGCTCGATCATGGGGAAAACGAAGACGCTGATGTAAATTTCAAGGTTTCGTTAGAGAAATTTTATTTAATAGAGTTAATTATCTCTCTCCTCGTTAAGGATGAGAACATTTTGTGTATAATAATAATAATAATAATAATAACAATAATAATAATAATAACAATAATAATAATAATAATAATAATAATAATAATAATAATAATAATAATAATAATAATAATAGATAGGTAAGGAAAAGGGATTTGAATTGTTTTGCGAACGTTTGCTCGATAAAAGTGGAATGTAATTGAAATATCTGTGTATTGCGATCAGCTCTGGATAGATTTTTATAAATCGAGTAATCATATGCAAAGTATTGTTAACCCTTAAATGCATAAGATTACAGAATGACAACATATTAATGTTTAATAGAACTTAATGAGCCATGTAACGTATCTATGCATTGCAATTTTATCTTTTTCTCTTTTTTCTTTTTTCTTTCTTTTTTGCTTTTTTCTTTTTTTTTTTTTTATTTTTCTAATTAAATTTTACAAAAATAAATAACGACAATGTAATATCTCAATTATATTCATTATCACGTTTACTCGATAGCTGAAATAATAATTTGATCAATAAAAATCTCTATTGAAAATAAATCGTGCATTAAAGGGTTAAGATGAATTTTTGTCAACTTTTAATAATCTCGTGTGTGATTAAACAAGAAAAAGAAAAAGAAAAAGAATAAAAAAAAGTAGAAAAGAAATGAAACGAAAAAATAAATAATCAATGACGATCTCGAGAGATCTGTCCAGAGTTAGCAAACAGTCAATAATCACGAATCTATGCATAGATCTTCGTGATTTCGTGTATCTTTTAAATTCGAAGGACAACGAGAACGTACGGAGAGTAAGTACAGTGTAAAGGCTAAGAATAAGTTGTAATCGATGTATAGATGAAAAAAAAAAAAAAAAAAAAAAAAAAAAAAAAAAAAAAAAAAGAAACGTAAAGAAACAAAATATCGAAAACAGGGTCGAATAAGAAGAAGAAGAAGAAGAAGAAAGAAACAAAGAAGAAGAAGAAGGAGATTGATGTAAAAAGTAACTGGCAAATAATGGAGAACGAATCTCTTGGATTCATGGCGTTTAGCTAAAAGCCGCATTGTCGATACTCGAAATCAAATTTATGAGCATCCAAAGCTCATCGTAAGCATAAACTGAATCATTATTAACGATCCCAAAGATTTCCTACTCATTTTCTTCCAACATTTGTTGATGTTACGATACATGCATCGTCGAATCGAGTTACCTCATTAGCATAAACTCGAAAGTTATGATACACATGTGTCTATATATATATATATATAGATATAGTATATATATATATATATATATATATATATATATATAGATATAGAGTGTAATATATATATATATATATATATATATATATAGATATAGAGTGTAATATATATATATATATATATATATATATATTACACATATATGATATACTAGTGTATATATATACTCTCAAAGAGTTACCCTTCTTCCTTTGATTTTTTCAACTATTATGTTCTTTAATTGATAAACATATTACAAAAAAATTTATTTATTTATTTTTTATTTATTTATATATTTTATATATGTATATATATATATATTCGACGTATTATCATTCTATCTTTAACAACATAATAAATAACAAATGTTGTTACATTGATAAGTGTATTACAAAGAAATTTATTTCTTTATTTATTATTATTTGTTTATTTTTGATTTTTCTTTTTTTTTTTTTTTTTTTTAATTTTTTTTGCATAAAAGGAATATATGTGATAATGACGTAACTCGAGCGTGTGTTTACTTCAATAGCAATATATGCATGCTCGCCAAGAAAAGTTAGAAAAGTGATAGAAAAAGAGATGGGAAATATCAAGATGGAGAAGTATTATCTTGAGGGAATAAGAATCGAAGGTTTATCCCATATGAGATTCGATCATATAGAAACGA